AACCATTTTAATAAAAAAAAAAAAAAAAAAATCAAACCCGGTCAGCATACTAAAGTAAACCAGACCCGGTCTAAGATCAGAACCTACACTGTAAATTTGTTTACAATCTAGTCCTGATCTCATGTACCCCCATCAGAACAAGAACCGGCCAATAAAAGACCCAAAAGACAAAAACTAAATCCGAATATTGGTTCATTGAGTTTACCAACATAACCGGTCGGTAGGACTGTGTAAAATTTATGTGTTTACCTGCAATTTTCTTGAGATCATCAAGTGAAGGAGGAAGCAAGATAAGCACCCCAGCTTCATTGCAACTTGTTGCTTTTCTCTCCAATGGATCTCCTCTGAAAATGCTCACTCTTTCTTTATCTTTCTCCACAAGTCTTAACTTCTCCAAAGGTGTGAACTCACTAGTGTTGACACCAACCACATCTGCACCGTTCATAGTTAGGAGATTAACCATATCCATCTGGTTCTCGGCCATAGCGACATGCAAAGCTGTGAAACCATGGTGGTCCTTTGTGTCAACATTGATCCCCTGTTTCAGAAGATCCTTGACGACCTCTACATTGTTCTGTCTCACAGCTTCACACAGAAGATCTCCAGCTACGTGTGGATCCGATATAGCTGCGAAATGATAAAGGATTCTGAATATTGGCTGATGCTTCTTTGAGATTGCTTCCCATAGAGCTGTGTTACCACTCACATCTGCAAGTGAATGTTGTGCTCAATACATTTCTGTAGAATGTAAAATAGAAAATAGTATAATATACTTCTTGATTATGATGTGTTCACCTCTTATGTGAATGTTGCATCCATGCTTTAGGAGTACTAGAACACAATCTTCATACCCTTTAGAGGCTGCTATATGCTGAAAAAATAATAATATAAGAACAGTTAAAAACTGATGGTACATACATGTTTAAATTTGTTTTTGGTGGAAGTTTAACGTTACCAGTGGAGTTTTTCCTTTGGAATCTGTAATGTCAGGGCTTAACTTAGCCTTGAGTATCTCATCAAGAAGTGCTGCATTGCCTGTAGACACAACAGTGATAAGATTTGAGGCAATGTTTGGTGAACCATCATCGTCCTCTCCATTTTGTTGTGCACTAAGGTCACCAACGTCTAAATCACTCAGCTTCTTGTGATGCTGCAAGAAGTTCTTGAGCATTACGGCATTGTCTTGTTGCTTAATCTGCATAGTCTCAATAAGGAAAGATGTTTTGAGCCGGAGAAGCTGCGAGAGAGACTTTGTTTGAAAAGTGTAGCTCTGAGGTCTGCAACAAAGTGCTCCAACTTCTCCAAATATGTCTCCACATCTTAGCGTGCCTAGCACGTTATCTCTCTCCATCTCTGAGTCTATGATCTCAACTTCTCCTGATACAATTATGTAAACATCATCTGGTGCCTCGTTTTGCATGATGACATCCTCTCTTGGTGGTATATACTCAGCCTTCATTTTAGAAACCTAAAAAAAACTATGTTTAGAGAACTCATCCATGATCCACAAACAAACCCTAGTTAGTAACTCACCAGGAGAAGAAGTATCTCTCGTGAGACGCCTTTGAAGAGGTAAACTTTTTCAACAGATGGAAGAAAAAGATGTTGACAAATGCTCTTGTGGATAGATTTTGGGAGCTGATCAATCACATGTTGCTGATTTAAACTCTCTGCTTTAAACCTCAAACACATGTAAGCTAGTATCTGGTCTTTCAATCTTGGAGGCAATCTGTTTCTGTTTACAAAATTCGACGCTGCTTGAATGCTATTTCTCTGCACCACAACAACAACAAGTTCCCTAAGAAACACCAGTACAAAGAGAAAACTTATGTGTAACCCAAAGAATGAGAGCTAGATCAGACTCACAAATTCCATAGTACGACGAGTCCCTTCCACAACCAAATTAGTCATGTTACCAATAAGATAAGCAGTGAGGCCGAGATTGAATAACATATAGACTATGATAAACAACATCTCAGTAGTGTTGCTAGCATGTAGATCTCCATATCCAACAGTGGTCATCGTTGTGATAGACCAATAAATGGCTGCAATGTACTTGATGGAAAGGCTTTTGTCTCTAATACTAGGGATTGCGTCTATCCATGTCTTTCCATGTGGATATCTGTCTGCTAGTAGGTAATAAATGCATCCAGCACAATGCACTAGAAACAACGTTACCTGTAATAATAATACTCAAATCTCATCATGTTTCTACAATTACAAACATAAAGCCACTTATAGTTTATTTCACTCACGGATAGAAGTCGAATGCAACGAATACAGAAGTAGCTGAATCTTATGTCCTTCTCTAATCTGAAACAACACGTATGTTTTTGTCACTTTCTCATAAAATGGTTTAGATGACAAGGAGCCATATGAGTACCTTGTGAAGAGGTGTTTGACGCGTCGGAGTCTCCAGAACCTGAGCAGTCCTAAGATATTACAAGTGAGATTCAACTTGCCTGTGCCGGTGACTAAGTATCCGATTGCATCAAAGGGTATAGTTGATGCAACATCCATCAAGAACCACGTAGAAAGGTACCTTTTAAAGAGAGATTAAAATATCATTTTTTTAGTTAGTTAGTACCTACCTACACAATTATTAAAAAGCTTTCTGTTCACGGAATATTTATAAATGGAATCTTTATGTACTTTCCATAATCAGTAATTTTGTCTTAATGCTGATGAGTAGAAAATAAAGAATCACATGGTGTGGGCACAAGAGTCAGCTAAACTTTGTCGTTACATTAAAAGATCATGAAACAACAGAGACTGACCTCACTGCAATTTGCTTAGGTTCACGGACAAGAAGCTGTGTTCTTCGGTCTATGTAAGCAACGAAGAACGTCAAGACAATGTCAACAGCGAAGAACAAGTCTACAATGTTGTCTGCGATGCAAAGATTCCTCTTTGGTGAGGAGTTCAGAAACGCGACTTCAAACGGGTAAACCCACGCAGAGTATGCAACAAGAAGCACCATAAATGATTCCCACCCCCTGAATCAACCAACACATAGTCATTAGTTTACTTCTTTACCTTATTACAAGATCATTCAACTTCCATTAACTCGGTAGTTTTGTTGTGTGTTACATAAAAGAGATGTAAAGAATATGTCGGTTGTTACCTGTATCTTGAATCCATGGGTGAGATGACCCATCCACTAGAAATGATGTGATTTTGGTTATAACTTGCAACACCAAGAGGAGGAAGAATAAGCTTTGACAAGTTGTTCAAGCTGAGAGAAGAAGCATCATACTCTTCATCTCTTTCTTTCCCTCTATGATGCTTCATGATGTCTGGAGATAAGTTGCAGTGAGATGCTGAGTACTTGAGGTCCATTATATTCACCCTGAAGAAACAAAAATTGTTTTTGTTACCTTACATAAAAAGAGAGATAGAAAGAAAGAGAGACGTTTTGGTGGATGGTGTAATTATTGCAATGAAGAGGGAGTTTGTGGTGTGTATGGTGCAAACCGTACGTGGTGGTGGTGGTCCTATTGTCAAGAAGTGAAATTGGGGAAGCTTTTGTGGGGAACAAAGCTTTTATTTTTGGAGGGTTAGTCATCATAAATAAGGGAAGAAAATTGGTTGATTTTATGTTTTTTGGAAGATAAGGTACGAAGTGTGATTGATGATGGGGCCACAAAATGAGAGATAGGTAATGGTTAAACCTAAGAATGATGCAAAACGTGGCTTTTAAACTCTTGAGGGTCCCAAATGTTATCATTAGCAACTTTTAAACTCTATACTGAGAATCTAAAAGTGAGAGATTAAGAGGACATTGTAATGCTACGTTTCCCAGAGAATGTTGTGTGTACTTAAGCACATTGACTAGCGGGTATATGAAGCAGAGAAGATTATGAGATAGAAGGAATTAGATTCCAGTTGAGAAATGCCTGGGACCAGTATATAGTATATTTAGGCGGAAAAGACGATATATTTCCCTATACGTGTAGTCATCTTCGGTATAGTATTTATCTAGATTGATCATATATTCTTAATTTGGCTTTTGAGGCAATCACATGGTTAGCTTACAAAAAGGCAGAACAAATTGAAAGACAATTATAACCGATCTGATTGTACTTTGTTGTAGGAGAAATGTCATTATGATCTCGTACGGAATTATCATAACGCCTAATTTGCTACTTCACCATGTTGCCTAAGTTATATCCGCAAGTTGCTTTCCTTCCAAGAAACCTGCCAAGTTAAACAAGGAGGAAACCTAAATTTGTCTGAGAAATTGTAAAGTAGTAAGTAGAAAATTTAATATTCAATTACTCAAAAAAATGCCTCAAATCACAAAACTTACCATGTCTTGTTTTAGACTGTGAGCAAATTAATTGTTCAGAACCAAAATTTGTCTGAGCATTTGTGTTAAGTATTTTATAGAAATAATGGTTAGCAGATCGTAGGCTTCCATGCACCAGCAATAATGGTTAGCAGAAAAGTGATAAAGATATCCACCTTTCAAGACAGAGTTCTAGAGATTCCAGGGAGATTTTTTCCAAAATAATTTCTAGGCAAAGGAAGTCAATGTCTTCTGAAGCGTCAGTTATCAAGATGATGGGGTTTGTGCTGTAGAGCATCAGTTTATGTTTCATTCTCTGGAAAAGAATGTTATAACACATCTTTTGTTACTGATGTTCTAGGATATCTCAAGGATGCCCCAACTGCAGATGCAAATTTGCCGCCGTCCATGAAGTGTGTCTTTCCATACGGTTCATGTTCATCTTCTGAACCCTCAGGTAAAACATGAAATGAGATATGCAAGAAGTCAGACAAAGGCAATTTTCTTGACGGCATATATATGCATCACTAATATGGGGATTCTTGTATGTCCTGCTTAAGCTTCGGCGTGTTAAAAAGAAAGCACGATCGGGGGTGATCCTAGATTCAAATGATTGTGCGAGTATGTGTTACAGTTTGAAACATTTATTTTATGAGATATATTTATTCTAAAAGCATGTTTATTTGAGGTTCTTAGGAAAAAATATGAACTAGTATAAAATAGATTAGTCAATCCATTTATCACCAATTGGTTTTAGATTATACTAGGTAAGAAATTCGTGCGATATCGCACGAGAACATAATTTGTAAGAAAAAAAATGTTACATTTTATACATTTTTTGGGTGGAAATAATATGCGTTACAAAAATATATTGCATACAACTATATTTCTTTACTGATAATATTAAAATTCTATATTTTATGAAGATATATTTTATTATCCACTTAGCTCAGTTATGTTAAATATTAAACACAACTGAATATTTGAAACCAATTAAAAAGTAAGCACATTTTAATATAATCACTAGATTTTGACCCGCGCTTAAAAGCGCGGAATTTTTTTATAATTAAAAATTTATATAATTAGGTTTTGTTTTAATTTAAAGAATATTTTGATATAAAATCAGTTCACCAAAATTTGTGGTGATGATTGTTTTTCATTAGTTTTTTAGTTTGACTTTTTATTTTTAGATTTTGGTTTTTGATTTTTAGTTTTTAATTTTCTACTTTTCATTTTCAGTTTTTGGTTTGGGTTTTTAATTTTTAAACCCGCTGAGTTAGTTTGAACTGATATTACCAACAAACAAATCGCAAATAATCGAAAATCTAATTTAAAACTGAAAAGATGAAAACAAATTAAAAAAAAGTGAAATAGTTTATATTGTAAATAAACAAAGCAAAAAAAAATATAATATGTGTTTTTCAGTTTTTGGTTTTGGATTTTAGTTTTAGATTTGGTTTTTGGTTTTTGGTTTTGCTTTATATTCTTTTAATCAGTAAATTATTTAAGAAAAATAAAATAAGAAATTATTTAAAAGTTACAATTGAAATTTATCAAATAACTGTGATTGTTATTTAAAATAAAAAAATATATTAACATTAAAGTACATGATTTAAATAAATGATTAATAATAGATAATTGTGTTTTCTTAAAAATATTAAATACCTTTTGGGTCTGAAAATAATAATTGATTTTTTTATCTTTTAAGGTGAAAAGTTTATTCAATATTTTTTAGAATTTTTTTCTTAAGACTAAGCTCAAAAACCAAACTATATAATTTGTTCAAAAAATAAAAGTAAGTCGAAAACTATATTCATAAATAACCACTGGTTTAATTTAAGTATAATTAGTAAATTTCCATATTTCATATTTTGATGATATATATTCTTTTAGAACATTCCATATTTGTAGGAGAAAATATGTGTGTTTCGGTATACACATAGATACCTACCATATTTTGAAGGTAGTTTACATTAAGGTCGTCTCTTTACATTTTGTGTTGGTTTAATTTAAGTAATACAGTTCAATCAATTATATGACTTATATTATTTGTAACATTCTAGAAACAGTCCAAATTTAAATGACAACTTGTATCAGTAGATAAAAAGAATGACTCTGTTTTAATATAGTAGATTTACTAAAGTAATAAGATAACTTATAAAGACTCACATATTTATGATTTATTTGAAACCATGTAAAAGATGTATGGTTGAAAACATGAATATATGGTTATTTTGAAAATATATTGCTTAAATATATTCTTTTTAACATATCATAAACATTTTTATTAATTTCTTATTTTTTGTATTTTTTTATAAAAGAAATTATTTTTAAAGAATTACATGTTGCAACTTAAGTATGAGGTTTTGGTATAACAATATACAGATTGAAAGAATTT